ACCGCTGCTGTAGAAATCACATTTCTGACAGTAAGCGGTATCTTCTGTTTCGCAGTTGCAGTTTGCAGGAGTTCTCATTAAAGAGTTCGTTCAACAAAGCCAGGCAAAAGAAATGGTTAAGAGAGAAAGCTTTTGAAGCCCAAAGAGGGAGAAGTGGACACAAAAGGTGTGGAAGCTTAACATGTATAACAACGTGGTTCGCACTACAAAAACCACTGCCTACATTTGAGGGACACGTGTGAACTTGCACGGTCAATACTTGAGCTCTGGTATGTGAAGGTGTGGCTTGTGAAAGGAGCAGGGAAGAGGCAAAGTTCCACGGTTTCGGGAGAGCTGTATGTTAATTTTATTTATATAAAACCTGCCTGCAAGAAACACCTGAAGCAAGAAGGCTGACTTCTTTTGGCTACTTTTGAAATCAGAAGAGGTAAAACACCCCCGACATTCTTATAACAGCTCTATGGTATTGTAAGTGTACAGGATGGGGGAGGTGGGGAATATGATATGTGTATATTAAGGTAAAACACAGTATTTTTGGTCTACTTCCTAAGACAATTTTGGATGTGTAGAATGTGGGAACCTTCTTCCTTTGGGAGTATTTCTTAACAACTGAAGTATAGAGTTAGTATTTAAGTGGTAAGGGTTTCACTGGGGGGAGGTGGAGAATTAATTCTCTTTTCCAGTACAGAAAATGGCTCTTGAAGATTCAGTGGAGAAATTCTGGAAGGCTAGTATCACTGTGGCTATTACAATGTTTTAGCAGTATGTGATTAATGTGGGTTTTTTAGAACTTTACACACTTGTTTTTCTTGTTTGCTTGTTGGTAAAATTTGAAATCCTTGGGCGTTTCCAGTCCTTGTAAGTGTGTGTGTGTGCTTGAAATGTGCTGTTGCTAGGTTACCTTGAAAAAGAATTAATCAGAATCGTTTCTATTACAGAATAAAAAACTTTTGTTTGAGAGGGTTAAGAGTATTACAGTATACATGGCTGTTCTCACAGTGTGTCACAGAGGAAAGCTCACTGAGCAGAGGTTGATCCTGATGCCTGTATGCTAGGGGAGTGCCCTGATCAGGGTTCAGATCAAATGGAAAGTTCAAAGATGATGTAGGACACAAGGCTTGGTCACTGACTAATAGAAGAAAAAGAAAGCCTGTGCCATCTGATGTTCGTTTCCTATAGCGGCTAAAGCAAGTGCAGTATTGTCCCTACCACTATCTGAGCTCTTCAGTGCTTGTTTTCGCTGTATGTCTTGGAAGATGCGTTTTAGTGCCTTGCCTTGCTCTCAGAAACCCTGGCTGAGCTGCTGCCCAGTTGAGCCCATGGTGGTTCTGTATGAAATAAGTCTCCTGACAACTAGAGCATCAGTAACTGATACGACTATAGTGATCTTAATTCTAGTTGTATGCTGCCTGTATAAATAATTTTGTATTGATATTGCACTACAAAGCCTTAGGGTGTGATTTCCTGGTTGTGCCATTCAGGTCTGTAACAAACATAAAAAGCATGTTTACTCAGTACTTTGCAATGTGACTCTTAACTATCAGCATACATATACTTTACACCTGTAAAACCCCAGACCTGCTGAAAAGAAGACTGGCCAGAGCCTGCACTCCTCAGGTTTTTCTGCAGACCAACAAACATTTTTCTTAACACACTACAGTGGGAAGATCCAAAGCTAAGATTTGTGCTGAACATGAAAATTTTCAGATAACCAGTCATAGTTCTGTATTTCAGTATGGCATTATGGAGTACAGTTAGAAGATGCGAGGCGGCCTGCGCTGTGCAGGCTGCACTCCTTGATGCAGCCCCCAAAGTCATCGCAGAGGTACTATTGGAACCATGTTACTGCCAAACTGCACAGGCTGTCTATTAAACATGACAGATCACTCACTAAGGGAAATTTAGCATTGATTGCAGTTTCTGAAATTCAAACATCAAGCATAATTGTATTAATCAAGTTGGAAATGATGGACAAATGAGCAAACAAGCAAAAAATCCAACAAAACACAATGTACACCACTTGCCAAGGCAAGTAGGAAAAGAAGGCAGATACTGGAAATTGCTGCTAACATGGAACAAAAATTTGTATCATAAGTGTTTGTTTTACTCTTGCGTCATCTCTGTCTCAGGTTTACTATTTTGGTGCCCCTCTGTTGGGTTTTTTCCCTAATAGAAAAGTGAGAATACATAAAATAATCAGTCTAGCTTTACAAACTAAATAACATGCAAAAATCCTTGGGATGTCAGATTCACATCCACCACAAATACAGTGACAGATGGCAGTCAAAATTATTCATTAGTATTGCCCTGGTTTCAGCTGGGATAGAGTTAATTTTCTTCCTAGTAGCTGGCATAGTGCTGTGTTTTGGATTTAGGATGAGAAGAATGCTGATAACACACTGATGGTTTAGTTGTTGCTAAGTACTGCTTATGCTAGTCAAGGACTTTTCAGCTTCCCATGCTCTGCCAGGTCCACAAGAAACTGGGAGGGGGCGCAGCCAGAATAGTTGATCCAAACTGACCCAAGGGCTATTCCATACCATATGACGTCACGCTCAGTATAGAAACTGGGGGGGGCTTGGCTGGGGAACAGCGATCGCTGCTTGGGAACTGTCTGGGTATGGGTCAGCGGGTGGTGAGCAATTGCATTGTGCATCACTGGTTTTGTATATTGTTGTTATTATTATTGTTATATTGTTATTATTATCATTACTATTTTACTTTATTTCAATTATTAAACTGATCTTATCTCAACCCAGGAGTGTTTCTCACTCTTACTCCTCCGATTCTCTCCCCCATCCCATCGGGGTAGGGGGAGTGAGTGAGCGGCTGCGTGGTGCTTAGTTGCTGGCTGGGGCTAAACCACGACAAGTATTAAAAGAACTGGCTAGCAAGCTTGGCTAAGTTTGTGCCCTGTGTAACTCAGGAATAGTACCTTTAGCTGTCCTTTGGGAGAGGAAAAGAACCCGGGGAGGCTCTTTAGACTCTTTTCAAGCTATTTGATTCGTGAGATAATTTCTCCACTGCAGTACGCTGTATTTTAGAGTAGCGTGCCGGGATGGAGGAATAGTGTGGTCTGTCAGTTACAATAAGATTATTCTTCTTTCGTTGTGCATGAGAGCTTCCAGTTCATTGTTGTTTAACTGACAAACCAGAAGATATGATGGGAGAACCTTCTCCTCCTTTGCATTCCTACCCTAGACATCCATACACACGGTTTCGGAAGTTGAGGTGATGCCCTTTTGATCTGGTGAAGAGTAAAGTGTGAAAAGTTCTTTATATTTGCAGTATTTGCAAGTGCAGGCAAATTTCCCGCCTCAGAAAGTCAAATGTTGCAGTAATCAGAAATATATTTTAGGAGGTAGAAAAATTTGGCTTGGCAAGGGACTATTTATATCCTTTTGGAAATTGTACTTGACCATTTTTCCAGGGTGTCCTGTTCATGAATGGTGAAGATGGATGTTCCCTAGCCCTTTAAGAACACTGAGGGTGAACACTTTCTATTTGTTAAAAATAAACAGAAAGTATCAATCTGCAAAGGATTGCATGGTAATCAGAGGGCCTCAACCCTTATGAAATGTATAGTATTATATAATGACCTTAAGGCCAAAAATCTGGGCCAAGACTGTTGGAAATAAAAAACATGATGCAAAGGCCTACAGTCCTTAATAAGATGTGCAAAGGAAATTATGTAATTAGGGTATGTCTTTTACCTGCATTTAAACAGGTTTTCTCCCCTCCTTTTATGTTGCCCGTTTGACGTGAGTCTGCTATGAACCAAAGACAACATGAAAGGACAGAAAATACCATCTCTTCTCATCTATTTAATTCACTCAGGTGCTGCACTTCAGGGTAGGTTGTAGCTCTATTGTTTATGAAAAATAATGAAGACAATTATCACTTATTTTTTAATAGGGGGAATTAATTAATTCAAACACTGTTTATTAATGGTAAAGAATCAATTTGGGGTAACGTAAAACACTGCCGAAGCAAGAGGCAACTGTTTGGAAGATGGCTGCACAGATGGCCATGGCCATCGAGGATGTTGAACACCCAAACTGTTACCTGTCCACGTTTTGCCCCATGGCTCAGCTCGTGGAGTGCGTCACATGACTGCTCAGCAGGTAGTAGTTGTCAGTTCGTACTGAAAGTAGTTTGAAGTACGTTGGTTGACTTTACACTGAGATGGCTGAGGAAAAGTCATCTGGGTTGCGCTGCCAGCTGAGCTGGAGAGGGCATCAAAATTTCCAAGACGACGGCTGCAGCAGGACACTTGCTACCAGCCTAAATGACCTTGGGAAAAAAGGTCCATATGACAATGCTAAGTTAATGCAGTCAGTTTTTTAAAAAGATTCAATTAAAATTGTTCTTTTATGCCAGCAAGGCCTAGATAAAATGTTAACAGCACTCAGATGCTGTTTTCACGTGTGTGAATTGATTTTGAGGAATCCACACATTAATTACCTCCGGGGGCTGGGACAGAGCTCCCTGACGCTATCTGTGGTGGTGAAGCTGTTTCAAGAAGTTCTGTCCTTCCTGTTGGTTGCACCATCATGTCCTTTTTTTTTCTGTGATGGTACAACTGGTTGGCACTATGTGAGGTTATTGGTAGCCTGGGTCATTGCAACATGGGACTATGAGCAAGTAGCAAGCTGCAGCTCAAAAGGTTTTGAGGTTGAAGGTGGTGATTTTGGAAACACATTCGAAGCTCACATGCTAAGGTGGCAGTGTGCTGATTGGAATATGTAGGTGCTTATTCAGGATATCTGCTTAAATTGATTTTAAGTTCAAAGGCCACAGCTCTGCATTATATGATTAAACTGAATGAAAACCCTTGATGTCCCAGAGACTCATGGTACAGAAAAGCCATGAAAGAGCTGTTGGCATGCTTGGTAGGAATGTGCTGCCTGCCAGAGCATTTTTTTTGTAAGGGATAAGGAGGGGCAGAAATATGCTTGTAGACTAGATTTAACTTACTGATTTGTACTTGCGGGCTTTAGGTTTTACTGAACAAGAAACAGTAACGGGGCTGTTTTCCAAGGATTGCATCCTCCCTTGTTCTTTCCCACCTGGGGATGATGAAGTAATTTACTGGAAGAAAGGGGACAAAAATGTGCACAGCTACTACTACCAGAGTGATCAGCTGGAAGGACAAGACCTGGATTACAGACACAGAACACACCTTTTCCATAACAACATTCCTAGTGGAAATGCCTCCTTGAAACTTAATAATTTGACCGTGACTGATGAGGGCTCTTATAGTTGCTATGTGGGAACACAGCAAACTAGAACAGAAGTGGAAGTCATGCTGCGCGTGAGAGGTCAGTAAGACATCAAAAGTGCTTGGATCACACCAGTGGAAATGGGATTACACCATCAGATTTTCTTGTGTTATTTCTCACATGGAATCAAAATCCTCCAACCCAACAGAGCGCCTTTTGGGCCTGATGGTATTATCAGGCAATTCATTTTCTCTGGTGAAATGTAACATGAGTTGAAAAATTTCAGTGCAGCACCTGTTCTCATAACGTACTGCGCCCTGATTTCTAAAGGGTAACTAGGTGGTATACCTGCGTTTTAAAACATTATGTGGCTCCTCAGAACAGTACAGACCCTAGCATTGACAGTAAGTAATGCTATGCTTTCTTCTGAAATCAAACACAGATTAAATTTTGTTCTCAGTTATGTTTATTCTCCGCAATATTATTTCAAAAGACCAATCACTTCAAGTTAAAAAGGATTTTGAAAGTAGTAAGATTTTTTTTTTTTTAATTTTTATTTTTTTTTTAATCTACAGTTTCCTCTTATTATGCACTGGAATATCAAAAGACAGATACGGATAGGGTGCTGAAGTGCTATGCCTTTCTCACTTACCCAGCACCACATATATCTTGGGTACAAGGCAATACATCCATCCAAGAAACAGATCGGCAAGAAACCAGAGATGGAGTTCTCTATTCTCTTAGAAGTGACCAGAGCATTACAAACACAGCTGATCCTTACTACTGTCATATTCATCTCCCTACTGAAAAGTGGGCAGCTGAATGGAAGATGCAAGGTAGGAATGAATGGAAGTCTCTTCCCGTATCATTTCTGAATGTCACAGCTGGTTTCAGAGCCAAATTAAATACAGTATTTCTGCAGTGGGGCAACACGGATATGGGATGGTGCAGAAGGATGCGCCTTCCTCTTTGAAACTCACCTGTTACAAGGCAGCATATGTCCAAGAATTAGGGATGTGAGGGGGTAGCTCATGCTTCTGTAAGTTAGCTTTACTCTGAACATTTTTTCCATATCGGTTTCATGTTTCAAGAGGTGCATAATAATCAAACTTTACACTCTCTCAGGAAAAGAATGAACTTGGACAAAATACATGGAAACCTTAGTGAACCTGTGGGTTATGTGAGGGAGGGGAAGGTTTGCCTGCTGCTCTAGATTCATATGCTCCTTACTCAGTCCGCTCCCCATCTTTTGCCAGAGCTTTTTCAGTACCATTTGATGCTTTCATTGTACTTCTCTTCAAGTGCATTCTTAAGTGCCTGGGCTGAGTGCTGGGAGTGGAGAGCAGCAAGCTTGCATTTGAGCAAACGGCAGCTCATTCTGTTAGTTAAGGAAAAACAGGGCTGTGAAATTTCAACTCTCCATTTTGTCGTCCTCCTGAATTGCACTAGAAATTCAGTTCAAGTAAATAACTGGTACTTTTCAACCTCTTCTGTTTCTTAAGAAATATTTTTTAACTGGATCAAGAGCAATGCAAGAGCAATTCCCTTATGAGATGTGCACGGCTGCTTCCATCGCCCTGATTTTCCTCTAAAGCGTACCCAGACGCTCAGTTCCTAATCCACCACATGTGCTTCAGAACAAGAGTGCAGTTTCTAATTTACATACAATAGCTTACAATATGGAAGGTTTAAAATGTGGCATAGCAGATAACAAGTGCACTATAAGTGTCTATTTTGTTAATCTATCCTTCGGATCCACAAGAGAAAAAGGTGCATTTCATTACGCTTTTGTTTACATCCGTCTATCCTCTCACTGGATCATTTTGAAAATATCCTGCTTTCCTTTTCCTTATATAATAGCAGTGTGGGGTAGAGTTTTGTTTTGTTTTGTCCTCATGGTTTTCAGCCCCACACCTCTGTTCATTCAGCCCCACGAACAGAAGCCAAGCATGGTTATACCATGTCAAAATAATATATTAGTTTCCTCTCCAGCAGACTGCCAGCCATCACAGCCTCCTCTGTTTTTTCTTCCTTTGCAGCAAATCCCTGCTGTCAAATTGATAGTTGTGCTGTGATATTAATTTGTCTTATGTTAGTATTTTATGCATTAGCTGTTGGTTCCGCTTACCTGCTCTTTCCTTCCCTTCCTTTTTTTTAAAGCTATTCTTTAATTGTAAGTGTTCCACACTGACAGGTACAGTGCTGAAGTCCACCACAGCTGAAAGTTATTTCTAACTAAATACAATCTTTCTCTTATTTTAATTAAATTATGTTGTAACAGTTTTACCTTTTTGCTTTAAATGTTCAGGTATCTGATTAGTTGCATTTTCCCTCTGCTCCCAACATGTGGAATTTGATGCTAATTTACACAGCAACTTAGACTAGGCTGAATCACTTTTATTGATGAGCCCCCCAATTAGAGGAGAAATAGGCAAATGAAAACAAAATAATTTTTGTAAGTATAGCTAATACCAATAGATATTTTTATTTTTTTTAATGTAAGATAAGTTTGCTTTTAAAATCTTTTAGTGCTTCCAGAAGCATACTGTGATGTTTGAATATAATACCAAAGTGAAATATGTTATTATATTTGTCCATAGTAGTATCAGACTTCAGAAAAAAGTTCAGAAAATGTCTAAATAAACTTCACAGTATTTTCCAAAAAAGTTGTAGAGGGTTTTTCATGTATCTGTTTCAGACCAACTGTCTAATGTGGAAGGAAGTAGCACTTCAATTCCTTGTGAATACAGCAACACTACAAACACTGAAGGTTTCAGTGTTGTCTGGACATTAAACAGAAATGCAGTGATCTCAGTCCTGGCCTCCTTCAGTGGTACATCTCACTCTTACCATCCTCGAGTCCAGATTAACCAAAGTGACTTTTCATTGACGTTGCGTGATCTTACTGCAAATGACAGTGGAGAATATCTGTGTAATATTTCAACACCTCACTACACAAAACTTATTGTGAGAACTTTGC